CACTTTATGAATACAAGTCATGAACAAATCTTAAATATGGCAGGGGATGTGTTTACTTTTTTAGTTTTGATTTTGAGCAGCAAATTTGGAGTTACATATTGGTGCTCACCAGGAATGCATAGGCAAAATTGCACAAATTTTCACTTGAAAGAATAGTGGCGATCTTGGGATTTTTTTCTGTTCAATTTTCAAACTGTGTAAATTTAATACACTTCATCTTCAGCATGTTTAGTGCCACTTTTGTAAGTAACCACGCCCCCGTCCAGGCCACGCCCCTTCCGCTTTTTTCATCACTCGCCATTGCCATGTATGTCATGACAAATAAGTACTGCAGTAATTATCCCTTGTAGTTGGAAGTTGCACTTTGACTCGTCACGTCTTTATACTGTACTGCAAATTCTGTAAAAGGGGAATCATTATTATGCAGTCTGACATTCAATTATGTCTTCCAATTCTATTCATTCCTCCAGTTGACAAGACAAGAATTTAGGTGACAATATATTTACTTTTTTTTTTTTTTTTTTTTAAATACAGAAACCTGTCCAAAGTGTGAGCATCCTCGGGCATATTTCATGCAGATTCAGACCAGATCTGCCGATGAACCCATGACCACTTTCTACAAATGCTGCAACGCCCAATGCGGACACAGATGGAGAGATTAACTGAGTATTTATCACTAAAGCAATTTGACCCACAGATTGTGGAAATAATTCTTTATTTTGTCCTCAAACGTGGGCTCAGCTGTTCATTTCTCGATGACCGTATGCGTCTATAAATAATTTCTCCAAATGACAAAATTTCAGTGATGTACTTGATTTTTATTGATAAAATAGTACGTACCTATGTACAACTGTCAAACAAATTTGACATAACATCGTTATACAGATCACACACATTGAGAGCAATGCAGACTGGCAATTTTTAACCATCACAATGGCATATACAGTACTTTGTAATAAAACCTCTTTTTAATTAGTTGCACATTTTTGCAAGCCTCAAAACAAAAACAAAAAAAAAAAGATGCAAATGAAATGAATGCACATTTAATCATGGCGTTATTTAACATTTTGCATCATTTCAATGCGCAGTAACTGTGAAGTAGTAAACTACTTATGGGGGCATGCTGGTGACGAAGAATTGTTTGAAATTTGAGTATGTCATCACTATGCAACTCTGTGACTTGGATATAATCACGTTTTGGCAGCTACTTCCTATTTTCAACATGCTTGTGAGCATCATTTTAAAACATGAGCATGACACTAACCTAACTTGTTCTTTAACATTCTCGTCTGTCACAAGCGACCTGTTGACTGGGGTGGTGACCAACATTCGGCCGACAGTTTTGGCGGCGATACATTCTAGAGTGAGATCAGATTCATACACTGGTAACAGTTAACTTCCTCCTCTTAAGTGCACCTACGGAGGGATTCGTGAACGACAAAGCCCGAAGAAGTCTCAACTATAGTGACTTTAGGGAAGGGTAATTTGTCCTTAAAGTGCAAATATTGTCTTTTTTTTTTTTTCTTGAAGTACATCATGAACAGGGGAAAGGCTCAACTGTCAATCATTTTTGTGTATAGCAAAAAAAAGCCTGGAAGATTACTCATGAAAATGATTCAAGGGGGAAAAAAAAAGCAAAAACATCGAGATGGGAATGTTCACATTCAAGAAGGGATCAGTAAAGAAGTCAAAGTGACATGGAGTCAAATTTTCACAGTCTTCAAGATGGACATGTTTAAACATACTCCCGAAAAATAAGACAGAAAATAAAGATTGCTTCGGGGCAAGATTTACAGATCAGGTCAGATAAAGTGACCAGTTTCACAGCCCTTCCCAACAAAATGACTTCTTCATCTACACATGTAACATCGTAACAAGCCTTCACTTTTTGACAAAAGAGGAAACCAAAAAAAAAAATGCTGCCCATCGAACTTCTGCATGAACGTATGAGGTGAAAGATATCTACACCATACTAACTCGGTTTACAAAGACAAATTAAGAGAGTGACGTGTTGCAAACGTAAAGGTGGAGAGAGGAAAGGGGGACGGGGGGGAATAGCGCTGCGAGCGAACCTCAGTGGTGGTTAGCATATACGTTTGTATGTGTAGATGTAACCCTTGCAGTAGGGGCAGGTGTGCGTCACATCCTTCAGATCGTCGATCAGACAGGGAATCAAGCAGCAGCCCAGGTCGCACCTGAAAGGAACGGCATTGGAATAGAAATTCAAAATACAAGCTCATATCATTCAATCTTTCAAATATCCGACAGAAGTTCTTTTATCATCATTCAACAGGAAAATGGGCTTTAGAGGGCATTTGGCGACCTCCTTTCTCCATTCAAGAGTACTTAAGCCCCAAATAATTTAAAAATTCTAATTGATGCTGATGAATCTGTAGAATGAAAAGATCAAGTGCTGCTTCTGTGATTAGCTCACCCCACGAAGAAGCAGAAGAGACAGAAGAGGGTGTTCATGAGGCCCACGTCGTGGGAGATGCGTGTGACGATGGCCTGCTGGCAGTGCGGACACGCCGTCTGCACCGGCGACGTCTGCAACATCTCGCCCTGCAGCACGGTCACCGTGGTGGCGCTGCCCGGCGGGGCCATGATGGTGGTCGCCGTGTGGCCGCCCATGTGCACGAAGGGGCCGGGGCCGACGGGGCCCATCGGGTGCGGGAAGTGGCCGGGCGGCGGCGGCGGGTAGAGGCCACCTTCATGGGAAAGAAGAAAGCAAATAGGAAAATGCATGACTAAACTAGTTGATGTTAAATCAAGATCGTGTGCATTTTCAAGGACAAACACATTGGTGGGTGGTGTGGAAACAGTAGTACATTAGATGTTGCGAGTCACCTTGAGTTGGCGGGGGCATTGGCATGGGCATGGGCATCGGCATGGGCCCGTCTCCGGGTACGTGTGGCGGAAGGAAGCCTGGATGCGGGCCTTCGTACGGGGGTGGGCCATACTCGGGAGGTAGAGGTTGACCCTGGGGGGGCCCTGTTCTTACAGGAGCTGTTTCAACACAAGACAAATGAAATGAAGCAACATGCTGCACTGCACATCTCCAGTCAACACGACAGATTTCAATTGTACCTGCTTGTCCGTTCTTCTCCTCGATGAGGGGAGCACTAGGACCTCCAGGGTAAGGTGGAGGAGGATCACTGGACATATTGGCCTGAGAGACTGCACTCTGGTGGGATGGTGAATGTGTCGGATGCAGGGCTCCACTGATCGGAGAACTCAAAGTGATTCTTTCACGCTGCTACAACACAAAAGATACACAAACGGAGAGGGGTTAACTTCTCGTTACACACGTTAGACGAGAACACTAAGATGTTACTTTTAACAAAGGTTTTCATTTGGAACAAAATTTGTGTGTGTGTATAGAAAGTACATGCATTACATATGCGTGAATTAAATGTGTTTTTTAAACAATAGTTGATTCGAAATTGTCAATTGGTTTAGCAGCAGTGGTGTGGAACTGCGCTGCACCATTCTAAGAAATGAACCTCATATTTTGGAGATCTAATTTAAATACACTCCAAGAGCAAACATTGACTTTTTTTGTACTGTTACCATGAGAAAAACATTGACTTTTTTTCTGTTCTGTTTATACCACCACAACATAATTCTTTGAGTATTGAACACTACTTTACTACATTTGGATATTACGTGACATTGTTATGATACATTGTTATGCTCGTCGTGTTCTGTTTCATTTTACGAATGCGGCTAGCTAGCAAGCAAGCTGATGTTTTATTTAAATCCTGAGATTATCCAGCTCAAAGCTTACAAGCGCAGGCAGCCCCCCGATAACTTCTTTTACGTAATCGACACGCAAGGGGAAATAGGTTCAGGAAAAAAACATCCAAGTTAGTGCGCCTTACGGGCTCCAAATGATGATTACAACGTCATTAGTGCAATAAATCAACCGCAGCAGCAATCGCGGCTGGTGATGCTAGCTGGTTGACAGCTGACGCAAGAATCGATCATACAGAGGCTGCTGTGACAAAGAGAGGCAATCGTTTTTACTTTTTTTTTTCTTACTAGAGTACACTTTCCAATATGTAAGATTACCTCATGGCCAAACGGTTGTGTTTTGCTCAAATGAGTGTAGCTTGTTGTGCTAACGTAAGCCGCGTCGCCATGGCCGTGGCTCTATTTGCGCAAGACAAACAATCGATGTACTAGCGCAACAAACACAGCTAATGTTTTCATATACTTGTTCGAATAAATAATTGTAATAAATAAAATATTGTAACTAGTAACGAGTTTGACAGCTATTACCTTACGCTGGAAGGCAGCGATGCGAGTGGTAAATTGTTTCACAGTACGACTACTTCCTACGTCCGCTAACCGGATTTACACGTGATGTTAAAAAAAAAACAATATCGTAAAGTCGTTTTTTTTTTTTACCTGCTACCTTCAGCGATATAATTGAACAATTCCATCTCTAGACACTATTTCAGAAGAATACAATTTAAGGAGATCAATGCAAACAATCATTCAGACGTTACGGCAAAACAAATAAACAATGTAAAATTTTAAAATAAACGTTTTTTTTTGGGTGGAGGTTGGTTTGTTATGATTGTATTGTCAAAGTTTTAAGTCAGGTGTTCTGTAAGTGCTTTGTTACAGCTGCAGCTGTTGTAAATGCGCTATAAAAATAAAGTTGAGTAGAGTAATAACAATAAAACATTAAGGTGCATTTGTGCAAGCTTTAAATGAAAAGGCAAAAAGGGAAATTCCTATATATAATCTTCAGAAAAGATGTTGCAAATCATGAAATATTATTTAGGACTCATAATGGTGACGACGTTTTGGCATTAAAAGTGTGGAAAATGTCACTTTTTCTGAGAAACAATTCTTTCCAATGATAACAACTCCCAATAATTCAAATACACAAATCTGTCATTAATTGATTTTCAAAATGAAATTCAGTGTGTATTTCTGTACCGTTATTGAGCATATTACATGAACACGCCCCCCCCCCCCCACACACACACACTATACATTGTATGTATTTTCTTCCTAATCCAGTTTAAGAAGTCTAACAGAAACGCACACCGACATCCCCGCCTGACCTCCCCGTGACTTCGTCACGCACCGCCCTCCTAACGGGCGTCCCATTAACTAAATCGAACGCTTCTATATTCAGGCAGTGTAGTGGAGGAGGCAGCCAATCAAATCGCGACACTGCGCTGAAGTTAGCATCTCGCTGGCAAAACAACAGCTCGCCCAATTTCCTGTTTGGGTTCGCCGCGTCGCTACCTTCAAATCATTCGCGATGTCGAATTAAATCCAGTCGTATTACGTTATTGTTTTATTTGTCGTTCGCGTTGCCAGCCGTCGCAGCTGCTGAGGAAGGCGAAGATGGGCTCCATCCTGAGTCGCAGAATCGCTGGTGTTGAGGATATCGACATTCAAGCTAACTCGGCCTATCGGTTTCCCCCGAAATCTGGTATGTCATCGGTATTTTATATCATTGGGGCCCGCTTTGTGGCTCAAAACGATTAAGTCTAGTTCCAGGAGTTTACAACACCTGAACTATGTGCTTTGTGTACATGAATATGAAGTCGAAGCTCCGCAACCCGGGGATTGAAATATATCAAAATCTCGCGATACAGGAGTAGACACTGAAATTCGACAATCTATGTGAAATGTTTTGGTATAACTTTGAGTTGATGGAGAATACACCGTTTTGGGATATATTCCTGATGACTGATCGAAATTTATTGTTACCCTCATCCTTTTTCTTTTCTTACAGGGAATTATTTTGCGAGCCACTTCTTCATGGGAGGGGAGAAGTTCGACACACCGCATCCCGAGGGATACCTTTTTGGGGAAAACATGGATTTAAATTTCCTGGGAAACAGGCCAGTGCAGGTGAACGCAGCCACACTAGAAATGTATCAGAATGAAGCATTTCAGATCAATCACAATGATGATAACATGTCTCCCTCCAGTTCCCCTACGTCACCCCCGCCCCCCACGAGCCTGTGAAAACCCTCAGGAGTCTGGTGAACATTCGGAAGGACTCGTTGCGTTTGGTCAGGTATGAATAATCAGCGCTGACCTGACATCAGTATTTTTTTGTTTGTTTTTAAAGGTTGACTCCTGTCAAACCTTATAATCCGCAGGTATAAAGATGACTCTGACACGCCGGTGGAGGAGGGCGGCAAACCAAAGGTTCAGTACGGCGTGGAGTTCACTTTTGATGCCGACGCTCGAGTGGCCATCACCCTCTACTGCCAGGCCTTTGAGGAATTTTCCAATGGGATGGCTGTGTGAGAATCCTTTTTATGTTGACAACGCTGATGGAAAAATCAACTTAAAACCTCCGCTCATAGGTCACTTCATTAGGGGAAATCTACAACCACATTGTTACACATGATCTCAAGTTCTTACTCTCTTTCAAGAGTATATCAAAACATTGTTTTCATATTGGATCTAGATTGCACGACGGTGAAATACGTTTGCACATAGACTTGCAAGTATCTCCGGTGGGAATTTGTTTTGCTCGAAGACGACAATAGATTTGACTGGTCCTTAGCAACCCCTAGTTGCCATGGATACCACACCAGGGACTTAAAGTGAAGGCTAGGAAGTCGATGTGAGACGGTTGTGTCACGGGAGGAGGAATGATGATGAAAACAAAAGGAAAAAAAACATACCTTCCGTTACGATGGCCTTTCATAAAGGTGACATTTCTCTGCTAACCAGGGCTGAACGAATTGAAAATACTTTTTTCACCCCTCAATATTGTAAGATAAGATAACCTTTATTTGTCCACAATTTAATATGCAATTTTTTTTTTCAAGGTACTCCCGTGTATTTTTTTTTTTTTTTACAGAAAGAAGCAATAACTACATCTAATTTTCATTTCTGTCAATGTTCCGTGAAGGTACAGCCCAAAGGATCCATCCATGGCCTCGGAGACGGTCCACTACAAGCGGGGCGTCAGCCAGCAGTTCTCCATGCCTTCTTTCAAAATAGACTTCAGCGAGTGGAAAGAGGAAGACGTCCGTATTTGCAACCCACAACATCGTTTAGCCATTCACAATAAGACGGCAATTAAATTGCTATATCTATTTTCTTCTTTTTAAAAGCTCAACTTTGACCTCGACCGAGGGGTATTTCCTATGGTCATCCAGGCGATAGTTGACGATGGGGACGGTAAGTTGATGTTTTGCACTAAACTGTGCGCTACAAGACATACAGACTACTAATGCAACTAATGCAAAGGTTGTTTTATCTTATTTTATCTTAATCTGTGCTTTCATTCCAAGATTGCCTCGGACACGCTCATGTACTTTTGGCAGCATTTGAACGAGTACGTACACATTCAAGTAGTCATTCGACATCGCCAAAAAGTCATTTTCATGACCCCAACTCACGTTTGTTTTGTGCTTTGATTCCCCCCCAGCACGTCGATGGCAGTTTCTCCGTCAAGCCACTGAAGCAAAAGCAAATTGTAGGTTTCCTGTGTGAGGAACACTTTGAGCTGTTTTATAATTAGGCTTGCAAAGGGGTGAACAATTTCTGATTGCAAAGACGGCGTAAAGGTAAACACAAAACATGAACCGAGTTCTCTTTATTCCTCCCTCCCCTGCAGGTAGACCGTGTGAGCTACCTCTTACAGGAGATCTATGGCATCGAGAACAAGAACAACCAAGAAATCAAGGTAGGCGCAACGAAAAGCCAGACGGAATGAGGATGTTTTGAAAAGCGGCGCGCGCCGTTTCAAATGCGCCGTCTCCGCGCGCAGCCATCCGACGACGAGAACAGCGACAACAGCAACGAGTGCGTGGTGTGTCTGTCGGACCTGCGCGACACGCTCATCCTGCCGTGCAGACACTTGTGCCTCTGCAACTCGTGCGCTGACACCTTGCGCTACCAAGCCAACAACTGCCCCATCTGCAGACTCCGTAAGTGGACTCGTGATTGTTTTGAGAGGGAGATGGCGCAGTCCTGACTGGGCCCCATGTTTCGCTGACACAGCTTTCAGGGCCTTGCTGCAGATCCGAGCGGTGCGGAAAAAGCCCGGGGCGCTCTCCCCTGTTTCTTTCAGTCCTGTTCTGGCGCAGACGATGGACCACGATGAGCACTCGGTAGGTTTTCAGAACTATCTGAAGATACCCTTTTTTATTTTTTTCAAGTTTAGTTTTCAAGTACGAGAACAAGGGTGAATAATACTGGGCTAAGGACAATGCCTTGTGGTACTAGAACAAGTGTAGAGTACCAACATCCCAAATGTTTTGCCTGGCTGTTCCTCAGGGCACCGATTCAGTCCCCCCCGGCTTTGAGCCTGTGTCATTAGTTTTCAAGTACGAGAACAAGGGTGAATAATACGGGGCTAAGGACAATGCCTGGTGGTACTAGAACAAGTGTAGAGTACCGACATCCCAAATGTTTTGCCAGGGCACCGATTCAGTCCCCCCCGGCTTTGAGCCCGTGTCTCTACTGGAGGCCCTGAACGGCCTGCGGTCTGTGTCGCCCGCCGTCCCCTCGGCGCCTCTCTACGATGATATCAATTTCTCAGGCGGCGACGGCAGCCAGCAGCTGAGCTCCCCAGAGCATCTGAGCGACGGCAGTCTGCAGAAAGGCAAAGTCAGCAAATCACCTGACAGGTAAAAATGTAAAAGCAGAAGTGGGATTGCTCACACATTGAGAAAAGAGTTACCAGAGTCAGTTTGAGGTCCTTTACCAAACAAAACAGCAGCAAAAAAACACATTCGTAGTCTCTCAGGAGTGTTTGAAACAACTGCAATAACTTTTTCAAAATCTTTCAGCCCTTGCAAATATGTTTGGGAGTGTGTCGGGACACTAACTTCATCTCTGGTGTCCTTCCCCGCAGCACCCTGAGGTCGCCGTCTTCTCCCATCCAGGAGGAGGATGAAGAAAAGCTGTCGGAGATGTCGGACGCTCAGCCACACACGCTCCTGTCCAGCAGTCCCGCTCCCACAGACGTACGTCGGCGTCGCCGGCTCCCGCGTCCTCACCGCTAAAAGAGTCGAACACAAATAATGCTTGAGTTTGTCTTCTTCGCTTCAGGCAACAGCAAACGAGGACGTCGCAGACTCGCTGTCCCCGGATGACGGTGAGTTGGTCAGTTTTCAACTTGAGGTGACGCGTTTGAGTGACACTTGTTTTTTTACGCTCCAGAGGACAGGATGCACGCCGGCGCCAACATCCTCCAGGACTGCGGAAGCGAGCACAGCAGCTTGACCAAAACGGAGAGCGACCCTCCGGGCGACCTTTCGTTGCCAGGTGAGACGCGTAGCAAATAACTCATTATTCCCAGGGGATTTTCTTATACATATTGACCAACGCGATCCAAAGCAAGAGCTGCGTCAGAGCTTTAACTATTATAATAATGCTCAGAGGTACACGATCGTTTATTTTGTAGTGGAAAAGAACTGCATCAACCCAGTATCGTAAATTGATGCTTTGTCAAGATTTAAAAAAGTACATTAATTTTAGATTTTAAAGGACAAAGTTGCTTATTTTTCTACTGAATGGTTAGCTTGTCTATAGTAAAAATACTAAGAACACAGCCTCATTATTTTTCTGTAAAATAGAATTGTATTTATTTTTCAGGGCAAAAAAATAATAATTAAAAAAAAAAATCACTTTTCATTGAACCGTTTTGTCATCAGAAAAATCTCGAAAGTGCTTCAATTTGACAAATGTATGCGTCTTAATCTAACGTCAATACACCTCGAACTACAACCACAACATTCAGACATAGCTCCCCGACCGTCAATCAAAAGTCAACCTAATTATCATTTTATTTCCGAGTGTAGCTCTTGCGTTGGATGGCGCAGGTGTACCTAATGTTGTGACCGATGAGCGTCGTCTCTCAACGAAATCGGCTTCTCCGGTGTTAAGTGTCCACTCTGGTATGTTTTGTCTGTCATCTTGAATTCACTCCGGGGATGCTTTGCACACGGGCGGTGTCCTCCTCTCATTTCCTAACATTTCCCTCTCCTTGCGCTGCTCCACCTTCTTCACCGTCCTCACTCCTCACCAGCCCTCGGTCCCGACTCCTGCTCTATCGGTATTGAGGAGTAAGCGCGGTATGTAGGCTTTCCTGTCCCGCTCTTGCCGCTTCGTATTCCCGTACGGGCCGACGCGCTCGCCCGTCTCACGTTCTCCCGGGCCGCCGCGTCTCCTCCGCAGGGTCGTCCGAGTCCACGGAGAGCCTGAAGAGTCAGAGCACAAATTGCTCCAGCCAGCCTCTCCTGTGCCCCACCGGCAGCTTCCACCGGGAAGACGAGCACCTCCTCCCCTGACGTCCTCGCTTTCTGCCTCGCCGACTTTTCATTCCGCCTCCCATCAGGGCCGACGTGTAGGAAAACGATATTGTGTGTACATGCGCTCCCAATGTGGATTTTTCGGACCCAAAGCACACTTACTCCTTTTAACTCCACTGCTCAAAGGCGCATTCAGACACACACACACACACACACACACACACACACACACACACACACACGCATATATGGTGTGTGTGTGTATATACATTTTTTTTTAACATCTGTCTGTGTTTGAATATGCTACTCACCATTTCAGATTTTTTTTCAAGACCTATTATATTCCTCGTGTGTTGTTGAAGTGATTTTTGCACTCTAACCAAATGGTTTATGTTCCATTCCATGAGATTATACAAACGGTGTATTAGGGGAACTATAAAAAAACATTTAAAAAAAAAAAGGCTATTAGGAGGATTTAGTCAAATACTTGTGGGGGGGGGGGGTTGTCACTGTATTATATAAACCAATAACTACAACTTGAAGCCCATACACCCCGCCACCGGCAAGATGCTTCAGCTGCATGCGTGATGGCGCCGTCGGCGTGGCCGCCTCGTAGCGGCAGCACCGCCGCCGCAGCCATCGCCCGCTTATGTGAAGTCGTTGCAAGAAAAACAACAAAACGGAGCATTTTGTCCATCTCTGTGCCTTGAGTTGCTTCCTTTTCCTGCTTGTTGCACTTGAGCGGCTTTGCCAGTACGCCACATCTGGAGATTTCAAGTACAGTCATTGTAATTAAGCAATATGAAATATGTGTCGATTGACTACGTAGTGTATTGATTATGAATTTGATCAACAGGCAGATACTTTTTTCTTTTTTTTTTTTTGTGACTCCTCCATGTCATTTCAAGTTGACGCCGTGCCTTCCTCTCCTCCTTCTGACCATATATGGGCCTGGTATCCAGGACAACGCCACACTAGATCTTTTGTTTGTGTTCCACCCGTAAGATGCTGTCTTCAAGCCTCTTGTATGTATAGCAGCATGTGAAGCAAAGAACAATAAAGAGCAACCTCGTCGTGATCTCAAAGGAGTCATTTGGAGTCGAGTGTTATTCCATTCATCCATCCATTCATTTTCCGATGCACTTTATCCTCACATGGGTCGCAGGGGGTGCTGGAGCCGATCACTCATCTTCGGAGTACCCGGAGAAAATCCACGTGTAAGGCGTTTTTGGCCGAAAAAAACGACCGCGTATAGTAAGGCGTTTTGAGCCCAAAAGAACGACCATGTATAGTAAGGCGTTTTTAGTCGAAAAAAACGACCATGTGTACTGAGGCGTTTTAGTCCGAAAAAAACGACCATGTACAGTAAGCCGATTTTAGCCGATAAAAACGACCATGTACAGTAAGCCGTTTTTAGTTGAAAAAAAAACACCATGTTTTGTAAGGCGTTTTGGGCCGAAAAAAACGACCATGTATAAAAGGCATTTTGGGCTGAAAAAAAAAACGACCATGTTTTGTAAGGCGTTTTGGGCCGAAAAAAACGACCATGTATAGTAAGGCGTTTTTAG